CAATTTTTTATCATGTACCGTAATAATTTAGGATGGTCAAAATACTCCCAATATAATACCTTACATGTAATAATCTCTATCAAATGGATAAGATAAATTTATACATTTATATATAAATACTCCTAAATAAAATTAATAAATAGATTCTATGTTAAAAAAATTGTAATAAGTTAAAAAATTACTCATATTGCCCATGCAAATCATAATCGTTTTGCAATTTAATTTTAATTTTTTTTTTTTACAGATTATCTTGTTATTATAACAGTCCTAATTTGATAGAATTGCCCTCAAATTTGGTTAAAAAGATCTCGGTGTAAAGTGTAACCACTAATGACTAATCAGTGTTGATAAAATACTCACAATATCAACTAAACTAAAACTTACTATTGGACTATTGGTATCAATTTAGTTGGCCCAAAAACACTTCAATTACATTACTACAACTCTACAAGTAATGATTATTGGCATATAATCCGAAATTTGTTGTTGTAAACTTGTAATGGTCATTTATATACTCCTTTTATTAAATAAAATTTACCGCGGTAAAAAGTAAAATATGAAGTAACAAAATTTACCTGACTAGGAAGCCGACGTTGGAAAACAGAGCCATGTTTATGAGACCGGAGGCTCTCCAAGAACCGAATCAACGGTTGAGATTTCGCATTAATCCGTTTATTAGCGGGCGAAACCTCCTCGGCCTCCAATTCGTCACCGCTATCCCCTCTAAAACGACGTCGTTTCTTTTTCGACAAGCTAGCGGAACTCTGAACGTCACTGCTTTGCTGCCTAGTGCTTTCCCTCCTCGACTCCGACAACGACTCACTAAGCCGGTTCACTTTTCTATTACTTTCGCCACCACCCGGTTCACCCCTCTTCCACTCCACCCGAACCGCCCCCGGTTCACCCCGTTTCGAATCATTCCCAGGTTTTATGTTGTCGGTTTTCGGGTGATTAGTCGAGTTAGATGAACGATTCTCCGCCGAGTCAGCGGTTATAACCTTCTCGACCGAAGATCTCTCCGGTTCATCTCCTTTTTCTGTCGCATTTTCTTCCGGTTTAATCCTCAGATCTGATAATAATACTGTCTTTTCTTCTTCTTCATCATCATCATCTTGTTGTCTTTGTTGTTGTTGTTGTTGTTCATCCTCATCTTCTGCCTTTACTTTACTGCTTTCTCTCTCCTCCTCTAATCTCTTCACCTTCAATTGCAACGACCTGTTCTCACCATTAATATAAACTAATCAGATCTCAATCCAAAAAATAAATTAAAATTTAAAAAAAAAAAAAATCATAGATCGGAATAATAATAAAATAAAATTATAATTAATAAATCTAATTACACGATCGAAACGTCGTGCCGATGAACCTCGCGCTTCAACTCCTCGACTCGAAGCTTCCGTAACTCATCCACCATACGCACGAGGTGTTCCTCGCCGGCTTCCTCCACCGTCTCCTCCGCCGCCTCCTCAAACCGCCGCTTCAAGTGAACGTACTTTTTCCGGCAGTTTCCCGACGAAAACGAACCATCAACTGTACCTTCACCGCCTCCTTCGATGGCGTCGTTAACGACGTCGTTTTTGTCGAGAGAAGAGTGTTTGATACGTTTCTGGAGTTCCGTAGAAATGGAGTCCCAACTATTGAATCCATGGCGGTTGACGGCACACACTAACAAAAGCTCTTCCAATGTTCCCCATGCTTGTTCTTCTTCGTCTTCCTCCTTTTCTCTCTTCTCCATCTCTCCATTGTTCGACGACGTCGTTTCTTCTTCCTTCTCCTCCATAATATTATTATTACTAATAAATCTTAAATCTCTCACTCTTCCTTTCTCTTATACAATACTATTTATATTAATAATAATCATCAGGCTTATCTAATTGTTTGCTTTCATTTCTAATTTCATTTAATTAGGGTTTTAAGACGATTAAAATGAAATACGAGTTTAAATAATAAATTATTTATCAAATTTAAATTTGGTGGAATTATGAAAAATACGAGTTTTTGTTTAGGTAACGCCTTCGCGGCTAGTATTTTCGGGTTAGGAGGCGGGGGTGTTATGTTGGGGGAGACTTTTTGATTGTGTGAGAGAACAAACCAGTGTGCTCGCAATTCTTTCTTTTATACGAGTGCTGTTTTTTTTATTTAAGGGTGGGAGTGTAATTACGATTTTACCCTTATTGTGTGATTATAATTGCAATTTTTTAGTTGTAAATATCCAAAGTTTTTTCTTTCTCTTTGTTGATGAAATGCAATGTAGTCCACTTGACTGTTGGGTTGAATCTCTACCGTACACCTCAGCAGTTGGTCCTACTTTGTTATTGATGGGTTGATCTTTGTCCGTTAAATAAATAATTATATAAAGAGATTTTTATAAAAGAAAATAAATCGGAGTATAAAAAAAAAAGAGAGGGAGGGATGATTTTGGTGAACAAAGGCCCAATTTCATGAGGTTGGTAGAACACTAGAACGTTTAAGGAGGAGATGTAAAATCAATGAAGAAACTGCAATTAATATGTGTATCTGACCTGATTAGGATTGGAGGAAATGAAAATTGAATCCTCGTTCTCTACCATTGAGTTCTCAACTTAGGGCTTGTTCACATTTACTGAACTGAACTGAGCTGAACTAATATGAATTGAACTGATTGGAGTTGAACTGAATTGATTAGAGTTGAACTGAATTAAGCTGAAATGAATATTTTATGAGAGAGGGAAATTAAGAGCTGAAACTGAACTGAAATTAAGTAAATGTGAACAAGCCCTTAGTCACCCTAGTTTTATTTTTAAATTTTGGTCTAAAACTATAGTTATAAAGCACGCTTACTTAAACATGGTTTGATCTAATGTCTTATTAAATTTATAGCCAACTTATCAATTTCATGTTGATCTATCATTATAATTTCTCGTGATTGATTTGTTTATTATTAGTAATATGTTTTTTTTAAAAAAAAAAAAATTGAATGGAATTACGCTCAAATATGTACATGTAAATATTGTCTTATGTGTTTAATTAAAAACCTCCAGATCACATGGTGTGTTCCCCACCAACTCCACCAAGATTTGCTCGATAAAGATCAGTATAAAAATGACTTGATATAAAGTGACTTAAAGGATTAAAACTATTGATACTCCGTATAATACAAACTCAGATCAACTAGAATCTGAATCGACTACTTTGACTCATTTGCCCCTAATCCCTAACTAGCAACTACCGTTAGAGTTTACCACGGTTGATCCAACATTCCTGCCCAAATTGCACGGTTTAAAACTTAAAACTCATATTTAGGTCCGACTAATTAGAGCCTAATAAGCCTGGGTTAAAGCTTTAGGCCCATACATGAGTATTCTTTTTGTTGTGTTGGTAGTTCATGAAATTTAGTATAGGGCCCTTATAATTAGGTCCATCTTTTATAAAAAAAAAAGAAAAAAAAAATTGAAGACGATTTGAAATACATGGCCCAAGTATAGCATTGCTACGGGTATTTGCCATTTGGTATTTGTTTGCCTTTTTTTTTCGTCAAGAGAACAACTGGAGCTGGGCATGTGGGGCAGCACGAGCCCGCTTGCGGCACGGTGACCGAGCAATGAAAATCCGACATGAGCACAGAACCCGCAGGCGGCACAATAATTTGGCCCGTTGGTATGACACGCCAAGCACGACCATAAGAATAATATAAATAATAATAAACAACTATAATAGTAAAAAGAACAATAATAATAAAAAACATAAACATAAATTAATAAAAATATTTAAATAGATATCCATTTCAAAGGTTGTTTTAAAAAAATTATGGACAGCCCGATGCCCGATACGATACGACACGTCACGCCAGGCACGTGGCGTCGTGCCGTACCGTGGGCTGGGGTGTGCCAAATGGTGGCCCGACACGAGCCACCACCAGGCACGGCCCCCAACAGCCCGACACGATACGTTGCCAACCTCTAAGAACACCCACATACCTTAAAAAGGGGAATAAGTGAAATCTTACCAAAGCGAGTTTAATGAAAGTCAATCCCGAGTCTTTCAATTGGAATTCACGGGATTAGCTAACTAATTTAACCCCTCTTCTTATAGATTTACATTTTGTAAATATATAGTATGATATTTTTGTGCAAATTGACATATTATTATATGTCACCAACACCTTTTATGTAAATTTGGTTGCATATAGAAGTAAGTGTACTCCAAGGTAGTTATTTTTCGCTAACTTTATATATTTTTTTTCTTAGCATTATAAGGTTTTAAAATGAGAAGAAAAAAAAAATCTGCCAAAAAAATCTAATTCATCATAAAATAGGCAAATTGTATCACCAGTTTATGATCATATGGTGTAATGGACACATAAATTTTTAAAGTGGAAATAAATACGTAAGCATATCAAATATTACACCAGTGTGAGATCTAGTATTGTCAACGCGGCATCTTATACTTAAATATATTCATAATGGTGCATAAAAATCCCATTATAATTATAGAATAATAGCTTCAGTGATCACCAATTCATGCTAATGGCTAAACCGTAGCCATATCAATATTGCTTAATAGACATTTCTAACAAACATTCATAATGGTACATAAAAATACCATTATAATTCTGAAAAATACCTTCAATGATCATCAATTCATGCTAACTTGATAAATGGCTAAATTATCACCTTCTCTCTCTCTTTTTTTTTTATTATTATTTTTATTTATAAAGATCATCAATAACTATATACTAAAAGCAAATAAAAAATGACACGTGGCAAAATTTGGTTTAATAATTTCCCTCCACTTTTTTTTCCCCCTTTTTTTTGTCATATTATCTTAGGCAATTTTAATACACTATAATATTTTCTTAACTTAAACGCAATCTTTCCGTCCCAAATTCAATAAAACATTTTTGTAACAACTTATAGAAAATTTAAGCAAAATAATATTATTTAAAAAGATATGCATAATTTTTAATATAATTAGCAGAATATCGAATTTTTTCATATTTATTATAAAAAAATCATAAATAAGTTGTTGAAATAAAAATATTTATAAATTTTGTTAAATCTGTGCATTGCACGGGACCATAAACTAGTATTGCTAAATAGTCATTTGTAAAAAACAAAAATATAATAAAATAAATGAATGCCAATTAGTCTAATACTTCAATGGGTTAAAGTTTCGAAATGATCCATTTACATAACCAGTCCAATTCAGGTTAACCAATCCAAACTCTGGGTTGCTCAAGGCCTCAAGTACTAACCGAAAAGATGAGCGGGAACTTAACCCTCCAAGTTCAGTTAAAAAATTCCAAATTTATTTTCTTTTCCCTCCTCGTAGAAAAAAAAAAAGTTGAAAAGTTTATCCAATCCAAAAATAAAAATATTAAAACAGTCGTACAGTAGTACTACAATATAAAAACCCTAAAGCTTTTAACACAAGCCAGTAACTTCCTCTAAAACAAAAATTTCACCCAAATTCTCTTCCTCTTATTCCCTCCAATTTTTCTTTATTCTATTAATTATAATAGTTTTCTGATTATTACTTAATTAATCAAGTTTTATGGGTAAACGGGTGCAAAACATGGCCGTTGATCATCCTGAGTTTCGGTCAGTAAAAGCCGAAAAGGTGAACCGAACCGACCATTTTCAAGTGCCACCACCAAAACGACGCCGTTCTGATCGGCCACGTGGCGGCGGTGATGAACCGGTGCAGAAACCGGCGGTTGACCGCCGAGTTATCCGGTCTCACTACGCATACTACAAAAATCTCATTCATGGTGAAAAATTGAAATTCATGTTAAATTATTTGTTTTTAAGTTATTTATTTATTTGTTTGTTTTTATTTATTTACATGTAATTTTTTTGCAGAGGAGAAGGAAGAATTATGCAAAGGAGATTCGAATAGGTTCCAGAAAATAATTAGAGAAGTTGACGATTTATATGATAATGGTAATTTTAATTTTAATTTTTTTTATTTTTTATTTTTTAATATGACGTTACAAATTTACTGTTGAAATCTCAGCAAAATTTTAGTTACTGTTGTACAAAAATTGAACCAGGTACGACTGTACGAGTATTATTTGTGTATAGTGTAGGTGTAGCCGTGTAGGACTAGTAATTTACTCCGTATTAGTTTTATTGTAAAAATGAACAATTTAATTGAGCATACTTGTGGAGTTTTTTTTAATTTATATCTCGTGTTTAAATTATGGTTGTTTACGACTCTATTTCAATATATAAAATGATTGTACGTGTTTGTTTTTAGGCTTAAGTACTACGGAGTACTTCGCTACATGTATGATCGTATTATTTGTATCACATTATTTACTTAGCGTCCTAGTCTTAGTCGCTTAGACATTGGTTGTCATAAAAAAAAGAGTTGAAAAGAAAAGAAAAGGATAATTTTTTGCTAGCTTTGACTTGTACTTGTACATAACAGTACATGCTGTTAGTCCTGTATTCCTGTTATAACTTCTGATGAATACTTTGGTTAATTTTGCTTCGGATATTTTAGTGACAACTACAAGAGAGCAAGTAACGGATGCAGAGACACTGCTAGACATGGCCAACACCTTAGTGACCACTGCAAGGTCATATTCCAAAGATGGCCTAACCCCATTTGATTTCATAACCTCTTTGGTTCGCGACTTTGGAGTTGTTGATGGAAGGAAAGACGAAAAGGACTGTGCTTCGATCAAATGGAATGCCATTGGTGTGCTTGTCTGCCCCATTTTCAAAAATGCTCAAGGCTGTTCTACAATGTATGTTTTGAACTTCTATTCGCGAAATATTTGATTCATGGATATGATTTGTGGGTGTATTGATGGTTGTTTGTTATGGCAGGACTGGACTGATGAAAACTCAGATCAAGCCAAGAAAGGCTATTGTTCGAAAGAAACGAACAAGGGTTACTGGAAGTGCTGCTAAGCCTGAAGAGGTGTAAAGCTTTATTAACTTTGATGGGTGATTTAATTATTCACAGTGGACTTCTTTATGCTTGATGTTTATTTATGAAGATGATTGAATTACTATTTCTGGTGCATTTCGCATGACACTAGATTGTTTCAATCGAATATTAAATATGGTCTTGAACTTCCTTGGTACTTCCTGTAGCATTTATAGCAAAGATTCATTGTGATAAGAGTATGATTTACTGGCTTGTTCATAAATCTGTTTCATATTTTTTCTTCTTGTGAATCAGGTGGAGAACTCTGGTTCAGACCACAAAAAGGACACAGATAAGAACATGGCAACCATGTTTAACATCTTGAAGAGTAAAAGAAGTGTCTGCCTCGAAAACTTGATTCTGAACAGGAATTCATTCGCACAGACTGTTGAGAATTTGTTTGCTTTGTCTTTTTTGGTAAAAGATGGGCGTGCTCAGATTACTGTTAATGATAATGGGACTCATCTTGTTTGTAAGTCCTTGCCGTTCTTGCTCATCTTAACATTTAACTTTCGCAATACTCCTGATTTTGATCAACTTATGACTGTTATCGCTTTTGTTTTCAGCACCAAAGAATGCTCCTGACTCGAGTTCAGTGACTTCCAAGGAAGTTTCATACAACCACTTTGTCTTCAGATTTGATTTCAAGGACTGGAAGGTAAGGCAATTCCTTCTCACTGCTATCTGTTTTGTCAGTGTTGAATATTGAGTTGAGACTTTAATGCTTTGTAAATGTCACAATTTCAGAGTAAAAAAATTAATCGAAGGTGTATATCAGTATACATGCTGATTTTAGGGACTACGCTATGTTGTTCACAACCCTGTAAAATCTGAAAACATGATTGTATTGGCTGAACTCGAAACAAGTGTAGAATTGAATTCATCTCAAAATAAAGAGTGTAGAACTGAATTAACAACAAAAGGAAGCACTGATGCTGTAACAAAAGGAGTAGTATTTTGCATTATGTTATGCTTACGTTCGTTGGTTTATGAATAACAGCTGATGGCGGATTCAGTGCCAACTGGAGAAGAACTAATGCCTCATAGGTACCAAGCGAGTGTTCCGCTGTCTCAGGCAGACACAGTGCCAAATCTTACTCCAGTTGCAATTCCGACTTCACCAACAACAAAAGCTCGAAGTAGTGGAGGAGGAACCATGGTTGTAGAGCTCTAGCAGCAACATTCTGATCCTGGCTGACTGATCATTCAGTGCAAATAGTTATTAACAACTAACAAGCATAGTTTTGGAAGCATTTTTTGTGCAGTGGCATGTTTATGAGGGTGCCAATATGTATTTTAGATGGACTAGTAACTCTGTAAGTATAATCATGTGCAGAGGAGTAACATATTGTAATGAATCTAGTTTTAAGAAGCAAGTAATGATTATTTTGAGGTAAACTTTAGACTTCTGATTTTTTGAATTATTGGGAAAAGTTTAGAGTAAGCAATGTGTTTTTTTTTTTCTAATTGCTTCTTCCAATCCTCAATCACACATGATTAGAATTGGACTTGGTTATTGGCTGGTCGGATTGGATCAATGAGGGTTGCTATCAGGTTGCCTTAAAAGGGTCAAAATAGGTGGGGTTGATATAGGTGTTAACTTCAAAACTTTATACACTCAAAGATAAATTGGTTTTAATGATTTAAACTTTGACGGTTTATCTTTAAAATATTTCCAAATTTCGATTATATTGGAATAATTTCAATTTACCTATGTTTTTTTAATAGTCCCAACCAATAATCAAATGGTTTTGGTTAGCCTAGACTTGAACATGAGTTGAGCTGGAGCTTGGTGAAACAAGTTGACAATTTTGGTGAAATATCTAGCCCAAAAGAAATATATCTAACCAAACTTGCCATTTTGAGCAAAAGATAACGGAGTTTTCAAATGGCTCAACTAGAACTGCATATAATCATCTCTAACTCAGCCCTACCACTTGTCAAACGGATCATTCGGATCGAGTTTCGGGTCAATTGTTATTCGAAACAAGTCGGGTATCGAGTCAACACTTCAGGTCTGGTGAATCTTTAAGTCCAATTGTTGGATCAAGTTCAGGTCAGGTTAAATTCAAATCGGGTAGAGTTTGGGTCGGGTCAATTCTGGTATCGGGTCGGTTCCGTTTGGGTATCAGGTCAAGTTCAGGTCATCTCCATTTCGGCTTGGACAGGTATGGGTCGGATGAGTTTTGTGTTCGGGTCAATTTTGAATAGACATTTTCGGGTTAATTCAAGTTATTTGGGTTGGATTGTGAGGTCTAGCCCTACCCAAAGATGTACTCCCAGCCCAACTGGACTACATGGCAAAATTAGTACTCGTCCACAGGTCGACTCGTCGTAATAAAAGAAGCAAGAGTAAAGTTCTAAAAAGAAAACAACAATTAGTCAAAAGAGGGAGAAAGAAAAACCCACAGAAAATGAAAGTGCTCGTACATGAATGAATGACGCTTCTTACACCTCACCCACTGCACGTGACCCTCCTCTCGAATTTCCAGGTGTCATTAAAATAAATCATATTAAACCGAAATAAATCTCACATCCACCTAATCTTTTTCGTTTCTTTTCACTTTCTCTCTCCAAACACCCGCCCTCTCACTTTCTCTCTCCTCTCTTTTCGCTAGGGTTTTCTCTTTCGCCTACTCCACTCTTCTTCTTCCCCAATTTTCAATCAATTTCTTTCCTCAAATTAGGGTTTTCTTTAGGTTTAGGTTTAAGTAGTTCAATTTCTTCTTCTTTCGTTCGACAATGGATTTCGGTGGTCCTCGCAAAAGAGGTAGACATGAAGGTTCACTTAATGGCAATGGCGGCTTCAAGAAATCTCGTCCAGGTTTGTTGAATTTTCTTCCTATAAATTACCTTTTTTTCAAATTAATTGTGTATTCTAGGGTTTTTATGAAGTTTTAGTGATGATTTGGAGTTTGGACTTGTTTGCTGCGATTTGCTCACTCAATTGTAGATTTGCGCGATTTTAGGACATTTTCTAGGGTTTTAGTTCGTAGATTTGTTGTAAGCTAATCTGCGAAATCTTCTAAAATTTTAGCGAGTGAAAGAATTGAATAAAAATCGAAATCTATATTAAAGAAAAGATTGGTAGGAAAAGGTGAAAAACAGTGGAGATTGAAGAATGAATTAATACAACTCACTGAAAAAAAGTAATTAATGTTCTTCAACAGAATCGGAGTCCTTCCAATCTGGTGTAGGAAGCAAATCGAAGCCTTGCACAAAGTTTTTCAGGTTCAAATCTCAATACTTATTTAAAACAATTCTACATATAATGCAAATCTTACATTCAACAATATGCTATATAGATTAATAATGTTATTTTACACAATTTATGTTGGTAATATATTGACTAATAAATTCAGCATCCAAAGTTGTGATACAGGTCTTATTCTATATCATCATATAATCACAGTAAACAGAGACTTTGATGATATTGATAACTAATGTTCGATACACTGGGTAATCTACTGGAAGATATATGGAATTACGTGTAAAATCTAATTTCCGAGCTTGAACTTTGGCTTCAAACTTTTACTCAAAATATGTTCAGTGAAAGATTGTATCAGAATTAAGAAAAAAGATTCGGAATAACTTTATGAAGGAGTATATATTTTGAGAGGGAGTAGTGGTCAAAGTGGACTCTCGGAAAGTGTGAGGGTCTTTGATTATGAGATGGAGGGAGTTTAAGCTTTGAAAGTGATGCAACTCAGTCTCAGACTAATTAATTGGTATTTAAGTTTTTGGTACAGGTCCATACTCTTCATTCAAATTACAATAAATCGATACTCTTGATGGAAATTCAAATTCTTAATTCATTGGAGTACTTACTGCAATTTCTGAGATGAAATAAGTTTCAACAAGCCTAAATAGTCTGAGAAGAAGCAGATTTATGAAGTGCTGAAATTAATCATATAATGTGATGGAAATTATTAATTCATTGGAGTACTCACTGCAATTTTGAGACTAAATAAGTTTCAACAAGGCTAAATATCCCGAGAAGAAGCAGTTTCATGAAGTGCTGAATTTAATCATATAATCTGACATCTGATTATTTAATTTTCTGCATTTTGCTGTGTGGTGTTGAGACTGATAGAAGGGGGGTGGGTGTTTGAGTGGTACCATTTACATATGAACATGATGGGCAGGGTGGCCTAATTTCACAATCAGGTTCTTGTATTGTGTGATGCATATTGTGTGAGATTTGTTTTATCCTGTTTGTTTGTGTCAATACTTTTTTAGTTGTTCAATTTTGACTTTTGGCACTATTCACCCTCTTCAATTTGACATCATTTACTAATCACATAATGAAAAAATACCTATGTTGGGTCTCGTTTGATTTGTGTCAATATGTAATGTTAAGTCATATAATTTTTATAATGTTTACAATTACACAATTAGTGTATTTCTAGCTCCGGCAGGAATGATATGCATAGACTAGTTTAATTATTATCTGCAACCATGCTGTACTGGTGCTCTTCCTGAGTATCTAACTCTTTTGTTTCTTAATTAATTGTGTAGAAGATTTGACCACTATGTTAATGTGATGTGAAAGTGCTCAAAACTGATAGAATGTCCATAGGTATGTTTGAAATGACCATTGATTGTGAATCAAGGGGGAGATAGGATGGAATAAAATTTTTTTGGTTAATGGACGTATGATTTATTGATTTGTAAACTTGTTGTGGAACTAGATTTTATTTTTTCCTTGTATTATTTTAGGTCCTTGTTTTGATCAGACTCGCTGTTGCTAGGTTCTTTCATTACGTCCTACGAGTTGTCAAGCTCAAAGTCTGTTAGAGTTCTTGCTTTTCAGATGCAAGTTTGAGATATTTGTGATGCATTGCAGAGGCTTTCCTTCCTCACTTGCTACTTTGATCGATCTTTTTATAATTGGGTTGTTGTCTCTTGTTATTTTGATTTTGGGATTTTGTACCTATGCTAGCCACTATTGCTTAGAAATTTTTAAGTTGGAAAACACTTGGCTTTGTTTAGCTGTGATTTGGTGTCGGATGTGGTTAAATGTGCTTTGGATCTAGGTTTATGGGAAGTGAAGAACATTTTTCCCAAGATTATGGTTTTGATGTTATTCTTTTTTATCACGAGGCTATATGTCAGAGCCTTAATAATCAGTGTCTCATACTTGACATATGATATCTTTGTGGGTGTAGACTTTGGGGTGGAGAGTTGGGGTGAACTGGTGAAGGTATTGGGGTTCAAATTGTTTGTGTATGTGGGTTTTATTATGGGTTTGATTTTGTACATCATTGGCTTCCTAGGTTACGCTTTTCTTTAGTTTCTGGGTTTGTGTTGTGTTTTATTTGTTGCTGACTGCTCACAGTGGCTTGTATAAATGAAGTTTCCTCAACAGTTGTATACGGGAAAAGTTAATCTCCTTGCTATTTCTTATCATCCTGTCTGTCCCAATTTTGTTCTATAAAATAAAACTTAGATTTGAAGATGTTTTAGCTTTGTTTTCACCCCATCTTTTTATATTTAAAAATAATCTGAACCCAATTTGTCTCTTTTGCAGTACGTCAGGCTGTCCATTTGGTGAGGGGTGCCACTTCTTGCACCATGTCCCGGGTGGATTCAAGGCTGTTTCCCAGATGTTGAACCTTGGTGGTGCACCAGTTCCTCCACCCAGGAATGTTGCCCCATCATACTCTGATGGTCCAGCTACACCATCAGGCAAGACCAAGATTTGCACCAAATTTAATTCTCCAGAAGGTTGTAAATATGGAGACAAGTGTCACTTTGCTCATGGAGAACGACAGCTTGGAAGGCCATCCATTCCATCATATGAAGATCCACGGGGCATGGGATACATGTCAGGTAGGATGGGAGGCAGGATGGAACCTCCACCACCTGGTATTGGTGCTGCTGCAAACTTTGGAGAGTCTTCTACAGCCAAACTCAGCATTGATGCTGCTCTTGCTGGAGCAGTCATAGGTAAAAGTGGGATAAATTCAAAGCAAATATGCCGTGTCACTGGGGTGAAGCTTTCAATAAGAGACCATGAGACTGATTCTAACAAAAGGAATATTCAACTTGAGGGCACCTTTGATCAAATCAAGCAGGCCTCTTCCATGGTTGAGGAGCTCATACGGAATGTCAAGGCAGCTTCTGGCGGCCCCCCTGTCAGGCAGTCAACAGGACATGGTGCACCTGGTGGTGGTAGCAATTTCAAGACAAGGCTTTGTGAAAACTTCACCAAGGGGTCGTGCACTTTTGGGGACAGGTGCCATTTTGCTCATGGAGCTGATGAAATGCGTAAATCTGCAATTTAATCCTTAGCTCCTCACTTGTTCCTTTTCACCCTATTTGATTTGGGGTTTTTGTATGTCCGTCTCGCATGTTTAGGCTGTGGATGTGGGTTGTTTTAGTACTGTGGTACAGAGACAATATTACTATCAGAGGCTGTAGGGTTTTTTTCATTTGTACGTTTATGATCTTACATTTAATTAGTTTTGTTAAATTTCTTTTATTTTGATAGTTGGGGTGTTTTTGTGGGTTGGTTACATCCTAAAGCAGCTTGTGGATCTTGTGATTGTCTTAAAAGTAGTAGTACTCTGCTTTGTCTTACGGCTTTCACCTCTCGAATCGTAACGTTTATATTATTCCTTATTATGAGTGACCAAAATCGTCTGGTAATTGTGAGTTAGCTATTGAACTAATCAATCATCTGTTGTGCAGGACTACAGCAGGATGGGTTGTTTTTTAAGTACGAGCCTCTTAAAATGACGAGTTTTTGTTAGTTGTGTCATACAGTGCCCTTGATGATAAACCCAAAACTTCAACTTTTATTAATACTCTGTATTAAATAATACACTGACATGATCCAACCCAACAATGACCTAGCTATGGAGTACAAGAACCTTGATTGGACCAATAAAGGCAATAATGACTCAATCTTGCTGATTTTATAGATTCCAAAATTATATTATTTCAATACGAGTATATTTTAATTTAAGGTAATGAGATTGAAAAACAAAAATAGAAAAGGCTCCGTGTAATGTATTTCGTTACGTACATAAAGAATTGATCATGTTCCCATATACTGTATGACAACATTTAGGCAATAGGAATAATATCAAAAGAATAATTTGTTTGTGATTTACGAGATAACTTTCTTAAATCAAATTAATCTTCACAAAGAGTTGATTATATATGTTCACACTAAACATACAAAAAACATAATATAGTCATATCATTCAACTTGTGATAGATGAAAGAAATCAAAGTGAAGATGAAATATTGTAGCCTCTTGTTGATGGTCTTATTGATTAATTCCCAACATGAATCAGTAGAAGGAGCATCATGCCACCCAAACGATACAAAGGTGCTAATACAAATAAAAGATCACTTTAACAACGTGTACCCCTTCTCAGGATGGAACGGCGATGACTGCTGTAACTGGATGTTGTTAGTTGCAACGACGAAAGCAATGGCCGAATTACCGGGTTTCATCTATCTGGACTTATTGATTTTCAAATTGCTAATAATGTCTCCGGTTTAATCCCGCCTTCTATTGGTGACCTTCCATTCCTCGAGACGCTCAGGGTTTGATTACTTGCCAAAACTGACGGGTTCCATTCCATCCACCATCGTTAACCTTACTAATCTCGCCGATATTACAATGGATAATGTTAACCTCAGTGGTCCTATTCCTGAATTTTTAAGCCAGATTAAGACTCTTCAATCCATTCAGCTTGTTGCGTGCTGCTTCGAAGGCACTATTCCTTCCTCTTTGTCGCTCCTTCCCAACCTTCAAGTACTCATTCTTAGCGGGTATGTGTCTTTTATTTGTTTTTTTTCATTTTATTAGTGAATCCTTTAATACATCGATTTACTATGTCCGTTTCTTATTATTTGTAACAAATAATTTTTTATGTTTTACAAAATCAATATTTTTGGTTACAAATAATAAGAAAATGAGGTATTGTATATTTATTTCATTCAGTTAAAATAAAAACACTACAATTTTGTACATACTTGTATTGCCTTGCATAAAACAAAATGGTATACGTACTTGTATAATGTATATTATTTGTTCATTTGTAACACGATATCATGATTTATCAATTTAACGGTGTTGATGTGTACATTATTTCAGACTCAAGCTAAGTGGTTCAATACCTGAAAGTTTTGGATCATTTAAAAGTAGGCTTTCAATATTAAGACTTGACACAAATGGGTTATCTGGTCCAATCCCAAGGTCGTTAGGTCAAGCAAATATTAGCCAGTTAGAATTATCCCTCAACCAATTTACAAGTGATGCATCTTTTTTGTTCACAAGTGATAAACCAATGGAGCGAGTCATCCTAAGGCAAAATCTTTTCAAGTTTAATTTCAGCTATGTTGACCTACCTTGGACGCTAAACTATATTGACATGTCTTACAACCAGCTCTATGGATCTCTTCCTAAACGACTCGGACAACTGAGACAACTAAGATATGTCAATTTTTGCAACAACGAGCTATGTGGTAAGTTTCCCAAAGGCCGACGTCTAAAGCAATTTAGCCCTGATGGTTTTACCAATAACAAGTGCCTTTGTGATGCATCTGGATTACCTCCATGCAAGAAGTAGCTGCCCTAGTCTATTTTGTGTGTACCGTGCACTCTTAATTCGTGACTTTACTTGCTCTCAATTAAAAGCTCGTTTATTTGGTCATTTGTGTGTACCGTGCACTTTTTAAGTCTTTGTTGCTGGTTTTATGTATTGCACATTTGCACTATCGCTTGATAGTTGATATGCCTCACTACTCAAGCTTCCTAATTAATATAGTTTTTTGCCTTTTGTGTCATAATTCAATTACTCAGTTCAGTACTGTTTCGGCAAAAAATGAGCTAACCGGGCCTCAAAGCTAGGGGTGCCTGAGAACCTCGATATTGGACCTTGAATGGACCTGCAAAATGAACCCCAAGCCCCAGGGGTGGACCCCGGGGCGGAGCCTCCGACGCCCAAGTTAGTAGCCAATTAAACAATGCATATATTGAGAGGAGTTTAGGGGAGAGAGTGGAGGAGTATGGTCATCTTAGATGCTAAGAGTGACCTCCCTTTACCTTATGCCCTTTGAGGGGTATTTAAAGTACTACATGAGTGGGTTTGTGAGCCCTAAAAGTACATATGTGGGCCGTTGAAGGCCATACTGATGCATTTGATTTATTTGGGACCTTTTTATGCTCTTTGGGCTTATATGGGTAGAATTACCCAAGACTAAAATGGGTACAAGTACTTTGTCACATTTACATCTTTTTTAAATTAAACCTTTTGTAAAATATAATTTGGACCAAACCCTCTATGAATTGAGGCTTTGTATATGATACCTAATAACCACATTTCTTTTGTCAATTCAATGTGTCGATGAGAATAAAATATTGAGGGAAATTTTTTAAAGATACATAAAATATCACAAGTATGAGTATTGCAATAATAATTACTTATATTCAGAAGCTTGTAGTCTCTTATATCTACCATGAAATTGCATTGCATGTAATTCAAAATCTGTAGGACAAGTCCTCATGATGAGTTAATTGTGTACTAAAAGGTACTCCGTAATAATATAAAAAATGTAAACACTCCAATTTAAACCAATCAAGGGGATTATGTTATACAATCTCACAGATAATGTATACGAAGTTTATAAAATGGAGTTTTACACTAAGGCCTCATTTGGTTAAATTGCAAATAATTAAGCTTTTAATATATTTGAAATTGTTTTTAACATGTATAACAAAATCACGCGTGTGTAATAAATGTTATATTTTATTTATTTATTTACACTATTAGCTCATTTTTTACCGTCACAAATTCATAGCTTCTCTACGTCCTCGGCATGGAGGCCCATAATACGCCCATTGATTATCACAAATATGGACATATGGTTTTTCAACTCTTGGTACATGCTAATATTGCTATGTGCTTTTGTGTGAATTAATGTAACGGTCTTATAGCTATTCTTAGGAGAAAATGTTTAAAACATTGTAACAAAGCAAATGCAATCTTTTTTTTTGATAAACGTGTGAATTAAAGTACTATTCCGTACGGGATTTATATATAGTTATTACTCGTAATTTTTTTTTTTGTAGAGTAATGATAAATGCAGTCCTTAAAATTGCAAATAAACCTTTAATATATTTGAAATTGTTTTTAAAACGTATAACAAAATCACGCATAAATTGTATAATAAATATTATATTTTATTTCTTTATTTACACTATTAAGGACGTGTTCGGCAAAATATAGCTGTGAAGGTAGCTGTAGCTGTGGAGGTAGCTGTTAGCTGTGTAGGTAACTGCTAGTTGTCAACAAGATGTTAGTTGTGAAAATAAATAATTTAGATATGAGTGTTCGGTAAAATAGCGGTTGACTAGCTGTTACATATAAAATTCAATATTTTATTTATAAAACTATAGATTAAATTTTCAACAGATACCTCAAAAGCTACCTCTAATTTCAAAAGCTAATTTATCTAACTTTTCATAAAAGCTACCTCCACCACTAAAAGCTATCATAACCACTACTTTGTTAAATACTCACATTTTTTGTTAAGTAGTGGTTTGACTTAAAGCTACCTAAAAGCTACTTAAAAGCTAGCGCCGAACACGCCCTAACTTATTATATTCTTTAAAGTTGTCTATTTTATTTTCCTCTCTTTTAAATCTACCTAAATTTCCAAACGACAAAACTCAAAGGTAGTACTCTGTACATTATTGAAGAGTACCAACACTTAATTTCACGTTATTAATTACGAGTACTTATATACATTTCAACCATAGCTTTTGTTTCGGGTGAAAACAATGGGACCTTGCCGAAGGTCCGCTGAAATGGAGAAGGCTGGATTCGGTCCAAGTTATGTTGGGCCGAGGACTTCCTGCACAGTAAACACACGTAAACTAGCCTCGGGGGTGTTGCCGAGGAAGGCCCCTCCGATGCTAAAGTTAGTACAATGTGTAAGAAGAAGACACTATGCAAGAGAGTTTGTTGCTTGAGGCTTTTGTGGAATATCTCAGAATGTGTGAATGAACATATGAATCTATGAATGAATCAGAATATGAATCTTCCCTTGAATGTATCAATATGATGGCTTTTATACCTCATCATACATAGAGAGGTTGGGCCTTAGCCCAATTGGCTTGCTTTGTGGGCTGACCTTTGACTTTAGCACAATTGGAGAGTTGAACCTTGATCTTGGGCTTTTAATTGGATCATTTAGTGCTTAGGCCCAATTGGACTAAATTGGACCCAAACAACTTGCCCCCCAGACCCAATTCGGAAGGATGACGGGTCGGGTTTGATTTAATTCAGAAAAGGAGGGAAGTAAATGATTTAATTAATCCAAAAATTTGAATTTAAACCGTAATTAATGAGATAACAACGATTAATGATTGTGGAAGTTGGACGGATAATGGGCAGTTTAATCACAAGATCATGTGTTTAACGGTTACTTAGTGGAGTATTTAAGAGAAATTAAAACGCAGACTCCTCGTATCCCGTACCTGGAGATATAAACAGAGGCGCGTCATCTCTCCTCACTTATTCACCAACACAAACCCAGAATTCTCGAGAGAGAAATCAAGAACCCGCATCAAAACTTCGCAAATTCCCCGAGCACTAAGCTTA